AACAATTTGAGGAGATTGGGTGGTGCAGTTGGGTAGGCCTTGTGTGCCATGCTTTCCAAGTCCTGTACCAGCTCTTGCAGGCTCTCCCCTTTAGCACGGACTCTCGTCCTAAACCTAGCCCTGTAGACTTCAGACTGATTTTGGGTTCCGTACCTGAGTTCTAGAGCCGACACCAGTGCTCTATAGTTGTGTCTGTCGTCTGCTGACAACTGTCCAAATATTTCAAGTGGTTGTCCCTTCAGGCTCGTTGCCAGATATACTGCTTTCTGTTCCTCTGTCCACCCATTCATTTCTGCCAGTAGCTCAAATTGTGCTCTATATGCTTCCCACGGTGCCTTCCCATCAAATTCCTGTGGCTACCTTCGTACTGGATCACTCCTATTACTGGCATTCATATCTGGGATGTGACTTCTAGCAGGACTGAAGTTGTCTGCATTAGGGTTTAGCTGCGAGGTCTGGAAGGGGCTTGCCATTGTCTGTGGCTGATTAAGTCGATGGTTAATGTATCCTCCTGTGTAAAAGACAATAAATCGTCCTTTAACGTATCTAATTCGCTTTTAAATTTACTAATGTTTTCCATTTGTACTTCTTGTTTCCTTTCTTGTTCCAGTTGCCACTGCTGTAGTCTCTCTTCTTGTTTATGTTATTTCTCCTCCAACAACTGCTGTAAGTTCTCTTCTTGTTTATTTTCTTTTTCCTCCAACAACTGCTGTAATCTCTCTTCTTGTTTCTTATCTCGTTCTTCTTGTTTCTTTTCTTTTCCCTCCAACAACTGTTGTAATCTCTCTTCTTGTTTATTTTCTCGTTCTTCTTGTTTCTTTTCTTTTTCCTCCAACAACTGTTGTAATCTCTCTTCTTGTTTATTTTCTTTCTCCTCCAACCACTGCTGTAGTCTCTCTTCTTGTTTATTTTCTTTCTCCTGCAACCACTGCTGTAGTCTCTCTTGTTTATTTTGCTGTTCGAGCTGCCATTGTTGTAGGTTTTCTTGCCACTGCTGTAGTCTTTCTTCTTGTTTCTTTTCTCGTTCTACTTGTTTATTTTCTTTTTCCTCTAACAACTGCTGTAATCTCTCTTCTTGTTTATTTTGCTGTTCGAGCTACTACTGTTGCAGGTTTTCTTGCAACTGCTGTTGCCTCTCTTCTTGTTTCTTTTCTTTTTCCTCCAACCACTGCTGTAATTTCTCTTCTCGTTCTTCTTGTTTATTTTCTTTTTCCTCCAACCGCTGCTGTAATCTCTCTTCTTGTTTCTTTTCTCGTTCTTCTTGTTTCTTTTGCTGCTCCTGTATTGCTGCCATCAAGTCTGCTAAGCTGTAGTTTGATTTTCCGCCTCTCGTTTCCATTTTTTTTTGTCCCACTCTCTGACACCAGTTTGTTACGTCTCCGTTCGTTCGTTAATTTTCCGGAAAAATTATTTCCGAAGAAACTTTACTGATAGAAGTCC